GCTTTTGTTTTAAACCATCATTGGTCAGTAAAGGCACTTCATTTATTATGATTTTTTTGTTCGTGTACGTGAGTTTATAAGTTGTTTTAAAGCTATTAGATTAGGTAAGTGATGTTTGAAATCATTCTTTCTTTCTTGAGGTTTCCTATATTATGCGGTGATGTGTAGCTATTGTGGTGATGTGTACTGTGTATCATAAGATGCCGAGATTAGGGTGCAAAGAGTATGATTTTGGTTACGAATTATTAAAACATCTGATTTTATTCACAAGTAAGGTGGACCCGGTCTGTTGTGCCCGACACTGTTTGGATTTGGCCCGAGACTGTCTTTTTTATTCCGGTCAAAGACCCCCCTCCCCCCTTGAGCTTCGTTACTCGGTCCTAGACTCCTAAGTGCCTTTTTTCTGACGGGTGTTGGGCCTAGTCATGGACCGGGCCTGTAGTTGTGGGAGTGTAGCCCGGGACTGACCTGGGTGGTGACCTGTACCGGTTCGGGCCGGGCCACCTGCCTGGGTACCGGGCCGGTCCGGTTCAGTTCTGGATCCTATCCCCCCTTATTTCTTAATTGATTGTATGAGTGATGCATATAAAAAAAACTTCAAGTGCATTTATTTGAAATATGAACTACATTTAAGAATTGAGAAAAAAATTACAATATGAAATACATTTTCTAATAAATAATAATATAATATATAATAATCAGTTGGAATTTCCGGCACCGTCGGTTGTTGTTTCCTCGTCTTTGCCTTTGTCACATGACTTAATATGTCTTATGGGAGTCCCATATCTTTGTGAAATCCCCAAACTACAAATTTTCTTGCACCACTGGTAAGCTGCGGACCACATCCCGTTCTTCGGATCCTTTCATTTATCAAAATTATTTTTCATAAGGGCATATTGACTTTTCACCTTAAAAACGGTAGAATGGTAGATATAAGGGAAAAGGGTCAAATAGGCCCTCAAATTTACATAAAAAGGTCAAATAAGTTCTTATATAAGAGGCTCTGTCCTGCCGTCACTATTTGAGGCGGTTCTTGGTTGAGTTTCTTGATGAAATGTTTTGAGCATCTTATTCATTAAGTCTATTTTACTCATACCAAGTTTCAGCTAAAACTTTAATCGGGAAGGCGTTCAAATGAATTCTTGAAGATAACTGTACAGTTAAAAGCGCAGTTATCTTCAAAAATTTATTCAAATGAACTATTTGTCGGTTTGGTTCGGTTCAGTTTAGTTCGGTTTGGATTTGTTAATTTTTAGTAATATATGAAGGTTTTTTTGAATTTCTTTAGTTCTGTTTTGTTCGGTTTTTATCGATTTCGGTTCGGTTTAATACGATTTGAAAGAAATAGTATCAAACTTAAACCAAATTGCATTCGATCCGGTTGCGGTTCAGTTTAGTTCGGTTTGGTACGGTTCGGTTAAACCAAACTGTTATGTCCACCCCTAAATTTGATAATGTTTAAGCATAATGTGGGACGAAGGGAGTATTGGTTTTAAAATAGATACAAAACCAAATTATCGAATATCTTTTCATAGTATGTTCAAGCATAGTTATACGTCAAAATTAAGAAACTTTTTGTTACTAGACAAAGAGGATTGTATACTATTATCGTATATGGGAATGATGATATTTTAGCACACAGGTCCGGCCGTCCGGGCCGGAGTATAATGATGGATCAGGTAGGTTGGAGCTTTGCGGCGGCGCATAGGAAATGGTTGACGACGTGGTTGAATTGGGAGGCGTCCTCCAGCTGCGGTATATGTGAGGTCTTCTTCATTATGTCCAGACGACTCTTCTTCCCCAGAACCCTGCAAGTACAATCATATCAAATTCTACTTGATCCGTTCCGACCACTTTTTTTATTGAACAATTTCATACTGAGATAATAATAATAATAATAATAATAATAATAATAATAATAATAATAATAATAATAATAATAATAATATCATAATAGCGCTATAGTCATACCACTCTCTATTTTTTCCTCTCCATTTCTTTTTCACTCTACATCTTTCCTTAAAAATAATTATTAAATTCCTTCTTTTTTATTTTTCCCTACCCTACCGTTTCCCCATATCTCTCAGTATTTCTCCTACTGGAGAACCGGTAACTGGAGAGGATCAAAATTCATAGCGTTAAATATGATTAAATTAATCTCTAAATTCAGAAATAAGACTATGTTATTTATATTCCTATTTTACCTATCATAACTTAATAGGATAATTATATTTTAATTTGTAAAAAAATTAAAAATATTTTAACTTATTCAAAAATCGTAAAAAATTGTCTGAAAATAATTTTCTGAAAATCGTAAAAAAAAATTGTATGATAAAATAATATTTAAATAACTTTTACAGAAAATCGTAAAAAATTGTCTGAAAAATCGTGAAAAATTGTCTGAAAATTAAAATAATTATATTTAAAATATTTTAACAATGTCACCTCTGATCAGAGAAAAAGATGCCATTTCGTGTAAAAGCTGTCATTTATTGTATGAAAATGCAACGAAGATGACATTTCTACTCTTTGAAAATGTCAAAATTTTCTAAAAAACTGCCATTAAAATGGCATTTCTAACACATGTTGGCAATTTTTTCCTGTGGTCAGAAATGACAGTGCTGGGAGGTTGTTGAGGCGGCAGAAGAGGCATGCATATTTTTTTTTTAATTTTTTTTCTCATTTTGTGAAGTTTTTTATTTTGTAATTTTATATTTTTCTATATTTTTATTTTTGTTAATTTTATTTAATAGTAGTATATATTTTTCGTTTTCTTTAAATTTTTTTACATTTTTTATATAAATAATTTAATGTTATTGTTTTTATGTTTTATTTATTAATGAAATATGAATTGTATCAAAACATAGAAAGAGTTGGATTGGAAAGCTAGTCCTATTTAAGGAATTAGGTGGTATAAAGTTTTAGTCCTATTTGGCAATTAAAGTTTCATTTAGTTCAATTCTATTCAGGAATTCTCCCTTTAATATTGATAAAAGACAGCCTTAATCATATTGATAAAAGACAGCCCTTGCGGTAGAACAATTTTGGAGTCTTAGTGAAAAGGGAATTTGACTTTGCACCCCACATTTTGGGTGATATTAGACTTTGCACCCCATTTTGAAAAAACATTGTTGTGCACCCCATTCCACTTAAAATTCCTTTGATTTTTCATCCCACGTAGAATTTTTTCTTCACAAAATGTTATATGTTAGGATGCAAAGTCAATTTTTTTTAAAAAATAAGGTGCAAAGTCCAATATGAGATTACCCTTAATGAAATTGAGTTGTTATTTAAAAAAATTGAAATCGAGTAGTTCTTTGAAAGTAACGGGAGCACAATAAATTCTGGTACACTACGTATAATAAATCAATATATATATATAAAAGAGGAACTTTTTAAGAGCATACAACGCGCCACATAACCTTGCCATGTCATCATATATAATAATTATTTATTTAATATTAAAACTTTTATTGTTGTAAACATTCTTTTTTTATTACACGTTGATATGGAAATCCAACTTATTTGGTAACTTAATAACTTCAAAATCTACGTAGGGATGCATGCTTTATTTTAAACTCTAATTTTAGCATTTAGAAACACAAAACCTACGTAGAGATTAATTTAGGCTAGCTATACTTAACCGTATTTAAACTGTATGTATTAATGAATGTTGCAATTTAGCCAGGAATCCAATTTTTAATTAAATAGAATTTTTAAAACAATAACAATTACTTTATCCAAGGAAAATAATGGTTACATCATATTGATAAAATTTGAAATAGATTTGTTATTTTCTAATTTAAATTTGGAAGGGGTAATAAACATTTGTTTGAACTCAAATTTTTGAATTTGTACGAACTCATGTGTAGTAATTAAAAAAGAGTATCAAAAGGGCTCTCTATTATAATCAAGACATAATTATGCATACCATACAACCCTAACTTAATCAATTTCAGTAGAATCAATCAATTGATTCGATCAATTTTAGTGTTATCAAACAGGCTCTCCATTAAACTGAAGGGTTGTTAACTTCTTTCTATTAAGTTCAGTCTGGATTGAGACGCATGTCTGGGTAAGATATGCCTGGATTAAATGATATTTGTTTATGAGGCTGTTTGTTGAAATAATTCCAAGTATATAACCAAAATATAAGTAGTGGACAAAAATGTGACATTGGTAACTTAAGTGACTATATAGAACTCATTAATATATTCAAGTGTTACATCATAGTGACCATCAAACCTGCACATAGTAACTTATAGTCACTTTTTTTGTCCATAAGTTTCAAGTTACTAATATCTTAGGAAAGCAAATCCTGTTCGTTTTAATGTTCAATAAACAATTTAAATCGTGTAAAAATTAACTTAGTATTGTTCTTAAATTATGGTGTCAATATAGAGATTCATTTATTAATGTAAATCTACAACCAATTTAAAAAAAAAAATTGAAAGAAAAACGTCTTAATAGTTGTCTTAACGGGAAGACCTGTTATTGTCCAGCTTAATGATTAAGTAATTTTTTTTATTGAATGATTAAATGATATTTTCAATTACGTAGTAAATCATAAGTAATAAGTAAATATATTACTTAATGATTGAATGATTAAGTCATTGACATTAAGTTTATTAAGTTAAAAGTAAACTAACAATCCCTGAATTTATTTTTTTGCTTTTGCATCACATTATATACGCATATACGGAGTATATGATTCCAAAAAAATCTCATTTAAAATTAGCTAAATTAAGTACTGCCCGTGCATCGCACGGGCTAGAAAACTAGTTAATTAATAATATAGTCATGGACTCATTGACAACGATAACTTGATTCATAAGATTTTATGAATTTCACTGCTGGTGGTTGCAAGTTTACAACCGTGATACTGTGATAGTAGTAGCGGTAGGGCAGTGTTGGATTAGTGGGGGATACAATCATGCATGACAATAATAATTACTTTTATTATTAAATTTCTCTTATATTTAATAATAAAATAATAAATTCGTAGTACTATGTTAAATAATTTAAATGCAATTAGTGTGATTAGACATTTTTTGGAAAAATTAAAATGAATCCTATTTTTGAAATTGGAAACAAAATAATAGAGCCCATATGTGTCATTTTTTAATACAATTTATTGTTTGTTGTTCCAAAAGATGGAATCTCCAACCCAGGAGCCCCCACACCCCGACCCGATAGAATGGTGAAGAAATAAGTCACAATGACTCAGTCGGCCCAATGATGATAGACTTTATACTCGTGCGCAACAGAGATTCAGCCCATCACGCAGGAGCTGTAACCTTCACATGACCGCTGCGGATTTCGAACATTGGTCATTGTTCCAAATTTCTCACCACTCAACCAACTGAGTTATCCATGCGGGTTTCACTACAAAAAAATGCGGGATTGACACGAAATTTGGCACGGACTTATCAATTTTTTGTGCCAAATAGCTCGTGCCAAAGTGTTTTTGGCACGGATTTGGCGTATCGTACTAGTAATATATATCACTCCCTTCGTTCCCGTACAAAGGTTCCCACGCGCGATTTATGATGTTTGACTGATCATAAAGTTGATTGACTTATGTCTATAGTAAAATTATTTTTAGTAAATAAAATTTACATATTCACAAACCACATTAAAAATTTTATAAAGTAGCAATAAGAATACTCAAATTTGATAAAGAAAAAATATATAAACGAGTACAAAATAAAAGATTAGGAAAATAGTAGACATGAATCTTTATACGGGATGAAGGTAGTACGGAGTATTATACATACGGTGATAATACATACTCTTTGAGTTGCGTAGCCTTTTCTAATAGAAATAACCGGTCGTGCTCTCCCCATATAAGCAACACTTCCTGCATGCATGCATATTATACTATTCAGTCCTGCTATATTTACCCACCCTTATACCCATCACTATGAATGTATTTTTTGTTTGTGAATCCTGTTCATAGACGAGATATGTCTTATTTTGTCTATGCAAATTTACACAAACGAGATAAAACATATTTTGTCGGTGAACGAGATTCACACACTGCACACACACAAAAAGCATTCACATTGGTGGATATAAAGGTGGTATAAAGACGAATACAAATATCATTTTTGTATACTACTCTCTCTGTCTCATTTTACATGTTTTACTTTTTTTTGGAAAGAAATGTGTGATTCATAACATTTCACTTTATTATACTCAAATTTGGACCACGACTTTTACCTTTTCAACTACTTTATTAATAATTGTGTCAAAATTAAAGGAGACACGAGACGAGCGAAGTATTATACTCGGTAGTACGTACTCCATCGGGTCAACGCAATATGATTCGATCTCCATCTTATATGAATATATATTTGGATCAACAAAATGCATTTTTTTGATCAACAAAATGCATATAGGATGATAAAAATACATACTTCCTCTTGCTATAATTTTTTTATTTTCTCATTTAATTTCCTTTCAAGAAAAATTGTATGGTTGGTATTGTTTATTTCTTTTTTTTATCAGAGTCACAAAATTTTAATTTCTTTGTAATTATGTGCCAATTCAAGATAATTTCATTTTCTTAGCATATATGCGCAGTATAAAATAAAAAAATGTGTGGCCCTCCCATGCATATTCCGATTCACTAAATTGGGCACGTTTGGATTCTGGCGTTTCGCCATCCAATTTGCAGTGTTTCACGTTTTATGGACTCAAACGCCACTAGCCAAAAGACCTCATTGGAGGTGTTTGGCAAAGGGCTGTTGGTTGATAGCTGATTGTGTTGACTGATTGATAACATCGGATTCTGTTGGTTGTTTTAGTCAGTGGATAGTATTAACAGTTTGTAAAATGATGTTTGGTTAAATGGTCGCTTTCAATCAGGTGATAACTTCTTAAATGACTTTTAAGAACATCAATTAATTTTTTATTTACTAAGTACTTTAACGTACATATTACAAATTTTGTTAGTTATTTGCATTTAAAAAATGTCATAAATTTCTTTCTTTCAAAAGGAAAATTATTTTCGTGACTAGCCCCATAGCCGTATTTATGATTTACAAAAACTAAAAAATATTGTCAAAAGCAACTATTCTTTTAGCAGGAGCTGTTGCCTGTTGGTATAAATAGGAGCAAAGCAATTGGAATAAAAAGAAAAAAAGAAACAAATTTATAAAGCAGCCAAGATGAATTGGCGTAGAAGGTATGGGTAGATTAGGAAAATTGGGCAAAAAAGTGAATCGGCTAATCCTAAAAGCTAACTTTTGTAGCTTGTTAAATTTTGACTGTTTAGATAAAAAGCTAAATAAAAAGGTCATGTAACCAAACACTCCTATTAGATGATTCATCTGGTCAAAAAGCTAAATGTTGGTTGAAACGATCAAAAAATGGCTGATAGGTCATTAACCAAACACCCCATAGACGGATAGACCCATAGTGGCGCCGTAGGAAGCCGGATTGCTCCAATATCCGGTGGCAACAGTGGCGGAACTACTAAGGTGCTTGGAGGGGCTTGTGCCCCTGCGGCTCCGGAAATTCTAAGGTAGTAGTGTAATCGCGCCCCAAGAGATCCACTGCTCTCTCTGCTCTGTATTCGCCGGAAACAAGGTTGGTTGGGGTGCTGAATCGATGTTGGTGCAACCATAGAAGATAAAACTTCTATTTTGTTTTTTAGATTTAGACCAAAACGATGTTGCTTTATTAAACGATTACATCGATGTTGACTACATCAGATAAATGATTAAAACCCTAAGCTAAATGACATCGATGTTGACTACATCAGATTTCAAAATTGAAATCAATCCAGAAGGCATAGAGGAGATGAAGCCTATCTGAATTGCAAGAGTTTTTTTTCGTATTAATGTTAATTAATTAATTAATTACGAAAATAGGGTTGGGTTAAAAGTATTTACCAAAATACTGCTGGGTTAACCATGGTCGGGGTAAGTCGCCCAACGGTTGGGCGACTTATAAGTCGCCAAACGGTTTGGCGACTTATAAGTCGCCCAACCGTTGGGCGACTTTCCCTTAAGTAAAAATCGGGTCTCGCCCCAAACAGAACACTTCACAAAAGCCTCCCCCAACTGAAAGTAGCTGCTGCGACGGACGAAGAAGAAGACGGACGAACCGCTATCTCCAACTCCGGCGCTCCTCCATCTCCGGCGACTCCACTCCGGCAACCCTCCATCTTCATCTTCAACACTCTTTACTCCTTATTCTAGGTAAATCCAAATCCATTTCATATAATTTTGCACTTAGGGTTTAGAATGTTAATTGTTTTTTTAATTTTGGGATTATGAATTGATTGTGAATGAATTTGTTGTGAAATGTGAATATGTATGAAATGTTGAAATTTGATTTTAAATTGTTTGTAAATTGTAATGTGTATTTTGACATTTGGGCATTTGGGTATAGTTGAATGTACCTAAATTTGGGTATTCAAAGGTAGACATTGAATGTAGATATCAAAATTTGGGTAGTTTGTTATTGAAATGTGAATTGTTTGTGAATTTGGAGTTAATGATATATTACAATTTTGGAAGCAATTTCTATTAAAAATGTGAATGTGTATAAAGTGTGTATATTGATGCCTACTCATGAATGTTGGACAATGAGTTGTTATTAGAAGATGGATTTCTCAAGCTTCCCACTCGTGTGTCATTGGGGAGGGAACTATTATGAGAATGGTGGGCAAATATGCCATGAAGGTGGCAGAACGAGCTTTGTCATGGTTTCTCGTGGCGCTTGCATGGTCGAGATCCTTCAAAAAATACATGCAGCGACAATGATTCATCCCGGCCGTTCATTGCGGTTGAAAATGAAATTTCCCATGAACGGGGGAAAGTACATGCTTATGCCGCTCATTGATGAGCTAGCTATAACAAATATGTGGGGCATAATTCAGATGGAGGATATGTCGTCGCTGGAGGTATACATTGAGGAATGCTTTGACGCTAATGCTACTCAATCGACATCAAATGCTGGTGTATCTAGGCATGATGTCATTGCAGGGGTGAATGCAGGGAAGTCGTCAAAGGTTCCTGTACTAGACATGGTTATACAGGAGGATGGCAGGTATTTGCACAACGGTGCGTCATTTGTGGATGGGCAGGGAAGTGATGATGATGCAGACGAGAACATCAATGGTGACGACATGACAGAATCTGATGAAGATGATGGTGATACTGTGACATCAACTGCCCCGTCTAGCCACTTCACTAGAATGTATGATCTCCCTGAAGGTTTTACTGATGCGTGGATGAGTGGATCAGGTGAGAAAAGGTTTACCCCCGATGGTGAGTTTGAGGTCGGTCAACAGTTTGACAACAAAGAACAAGTCATCAATATGGTGAGCTTGTATTCTATCAAACGGAACCAATTCTATCGGGTGATAGAGTCCGATAAACACAAATGGGTGGCACAATGCAAAAGGAAGAAAGAATGTCAATGCCCCTGGAGAATACGCGCCACAAAGAACAAAGGCAACCTTGACACCTTCACAATTGTGCGTTATTCTGGACCTCATTCTGCTTCTTGTGTAGGCAACATCGACACTACAGATCACGTGGCCTTGACATCAGAATTCATCTGTAAAGATGTGGTTGACATTATTCGCACTGATCCTTCTCTTAAAGTGCATACTATCATCGAGATGTTGAAGGAAAAATATGGGTATACGGTATCTTACCGGAGAACATGGATGGGGAAGCAAAAGGCCATAGCACAAATATTTGGCGGTTGGGAAAAGTCATATTTCGAATTGCCCCGTTTCATGACAGCGCTCCAACATTCTAATCCAGGAACTGTTGTTCAGTGGTACCCACCCCCTAATGGTGCGACAGGTTATATGATGTTTCAAAGAGTATTTTGGGCATTCAAGGCATCAATATCTGGTTTTAAGCATTGTCGACCCGTACTTACTATTGATGGCACACACATATATGGAAAGTACAAGGGCACATTGCTCGTGGCCATGGGTTGTGATGCGAACAACCAAATTTTCCCAGTTGCCTTTGCAGTTGTTGAATCCGAGAATGGAGACAGTTGGCCATGGTTTATGGCATGTATTAGGCATTTTGTGACTAACGGGGAGTTGTGTGTCATTTCAGATAGACATGGAGGTATTGTTAGGGCAATGAATGAGGTTGGAAGTAATTGGGAGGAGCCTTATGCGCATCATAGGCTATGCATCCGTCATCTTGCTTCAAATGTGCACACTCATTTCAAAGACATTCATTTAAAAAATCTATTTGTGTGGACCGCACGGCAACATCAGAAAAAAAAAATTGATGGTGGGTTCAAGAAGATAGGTGAAATGAGTAGGGATGCACGACAATTTTTGGCCAACATTCCTCCAGAAATGTGGTCGCTGCACCATGATGGCGGGTACAGATACGGTACCATCACTTCAAATCTGGCTGAGGTTTTCAATAGCGTCATGAAAAATGCTAGATATTTGCCCATTACCGCCTTGGTCCAGGTGTCTTTTTACCGGGTTAATGCGTACTTTGTGAATAGGCGTGAAACTAGTAAGTTGAGGATCACACAAGGCCACGAGTACTCCCCATACATCACAGATTTAATTGAAAAAAAATAGAGAGAAGGCAAAGCATCACATTGTCACTCCTTTTGATTTAGGGCGAGATATATTTCAGGTGGAGACCGGTTGTGGTGGCAGAACGTTGGGAAAGGGTGGGAGAAAACAAATTGTCCATCTACAACGGAAAACGTGCACTTGCAAAAAGATGGAGATATACAAGATTCCTTGCTCCCATGTATTAGCCGTGTGTAGACAACGTAGTTTGTCTTATGCTCCATTTGAGGATAAGTTCTTCTCTTCTGACCAATACGCCGCCACGTATCATAGGGTGTTCA